GGTGGGGCCACCGCGACAAATGTAGTCGTTGGACAGACTGGGGGAGGCACGGGGAGGCATTTAAATGCCTCCCCGATCCTTCCAGGGCCTCCTGGCCTGCCCACCTCAACGTCATCGGGGTGTGTGTGTGTCACTCTCCAGGCCTTCCCTCTGTAGCCACGCACATAGAGGTTTTGGCTGTAGTGGGCGTGGCCAACTCTGAAGCCAGCCGGAACTCCGTTCCTGTGTGTTCCTGCTCAAAAATAGCCCTGCTTAAGTCCATACAGATACAATACTCAGCAGCATATAGAAAATCCCTCTATCTGGTATAGTGTGCAGAACAAGGAATATTCCTGGGACTGTGGACCAAGACCCTCACAGAATTACAGGTGGGGTGTTGGCCAAGCAGCCTTAACAAAGCCCAAAACCACCTATATATACTCTTTGCAGTGTCAATCAAGGAAGTGATGAACTTGTCGAGACCCAACCCCACATCCGTTGACCATATGAGCTTTGTTCAAAGTTAGTTTACTATCTGTTAGGTCAAGAAGCTCCAGACAGCTTTTCGCCCAGGATGAGGAGCTAAGGTGTCTCCCAGCCTGGCAATTAGTATGTTTAGACTCAGCTTGGTACCCATGTCTCTTGGAATGTAAGTCGTGTTTCTAGACAAAAGGGCACAGACAGGGCAAAGCCTATGAACAGCTAGGCTGCAAAGCCTTGTGGGAAGATGGATCAAAGAAAGGAAGAAGCCAATACAGAATGAACCAGAGACAACAGAGTCCCAGTCTCGATTTCCATAAGATGTATTCCCCAGTATTTGTATAATTTGGATAGCCCTAGCCATCAAAGAGCTTTTTCCCTTGCTCGAGTAAATGCCTTCCCATCAAAACTACTGTATGGTAGGTTTCATAATTTTCCTAAGTACGAACGGAGATGTGACTGTGGTTCAAGCTCTCTTGATTCAATTGATCACATACTGCTAGACTGTTCGTTGCATGTATCTGCTAGGGAAAAATGGTTACACTCTTGGTTGCATGGTAAATATCACCTTTCTAATGAAAGAAAGTGTCAAATTCTATTGAATGATACAACAGCAGAGATTACAGTGGCAGTGGCTAATTTTTTAGTCGATGTGATAAGAGTGGAAAATTTGGGAAACTCCGTTTCATGATTTTATAATTATTTCAGTTTTTTAGTTGACTGTGTCATCTTCTGTTTCTGAATTTAATGCTGTATATGCTATTAAAGGTTTATTGATTGATTGATTTCCATAAAATTCTCCCATAGAAATCAAATTACATTGAAAATCAAACCTGAATGTGTTTTATTCCATTTAAACTGTGTAGAAGTAATAAAGTTGCTTTTGACCGAAACGCAACCAACAGGAGCTTTCAGGAGTCAGCACTCACTTCTTCGGATGCTAAGAAAAGGAAATAATTTCCCACATTTGATGAGGAAAATTACAGAAGGGGAGGGGAAAACAGGGTGGAGCTGTGGAATTCACACCAAGCCTCTATCTGCTTCAACTCCTCCCTCTCCTGTAACTTTCTGGAAAATGATGGTTTTTTCATGCATCTGAAGGAGTGAATTCTGACTGAATGATCATGCTGGAATAAATGTTGTTAGTCTTTAAGGTGCCGCTGGACATTTGTGCTATTTTGCCAGAGTAGACTAACATGACTGCCCTTCCGGAACACACAGGATACCCAAGCATCCTTTCGATCTAAGATCTATGCCCTTTCCTTTCTCTTAGTTGTTGTTTTAATTCAACAGCATGTCAGCGAGCTGCCATTCCCTTGGGACACGTCCCATCCCCCTCCCTGTCTCCCTAAGCCTTATCCTGTTCATGTAGTACCTCTGTAACTGCCAAGGTCTCCAGCTGGTGTGATGTGGTGTTATGTCTTGAAGCTCTAGCTTGTTTAGGTTTCCCGTGTGAACTCAACCTGTGTTTATGGAATTGGCCGTTGCTGTTCTCAGCCCGCTTCGCGCCTTTTCTAATCTGTGAACCTGACGAGGGAAATATGTTCATTGGTTTAAACCTGGTTTGAATTTCCTTTTAATACACCTTCCCTGGGTATTGTAGTTATTCTTAACAATCTCTGTATGTTCGTGATCAACCATGCTTTGGAAATAAATCTTTCTTCTTTTTGAACGTGGATCTATTCTCCTGATTTGGGATCTAACACAGCATCGTGTTACCAGATACAATGACCTGATTGTAGTTACAGTAGCTCCTCTGTTATATTCTCCGACTTGTGGCATTGTTTTCTTCTCTACCCCAGGGTTTCATCAAAGCAAAGAACTATCCACCTACCACTGGTGTGGAGACTGAAAATGATGGCTCTGAATCTGCAGTGTTTAAGCAGCTCTTTCAAAAATGGACGGTCCCCAACCAAACTGTTGGCTTTGGCAAGACCAGCTCAGTTGGTAAAGTAGGTAAGTGCTGACACCTGACCAGATCAGGAGACCTGATGTACACAGGCTGCTTCTTACTGATGTGGACCTCACCATGGAGAAGATGAAGAAAGCTTTTATGACCGCTCCTACATTTAGGAAGAGACTGTGGGGTGGGGGATCTCCTTTGAGATCCTGTAACAGCTCTGTTGCCTTTTCAAAAGAGATTCTGATGTGGAAGTGTGGTATTTCTATTCTGGTTAGTATGCATAGTACTATGGAGGCTCAAAGTGCTGGCTGAAGGAAGCAGTTATTATAATCCACCTTGTTTCTTGATTATTGCAGCATTATTTACAGACCTCGATAGCTCAGGCTAGCCCAATCTTGTCAGAACGCAGAAGCTAAGCAAGGTTGACCCTGGTTAGTACTTGAATGGGAGACCACCCAGGAAGTCAAGAGTTGTTATAAGAACATCAGAGGAGCCCTGCTGGATCAGACCAATAGTCCATCTAGTCCAGCATCCGGTCACACACAGTGGCCAACCAGTTCCTCTGGACATCCAATACCAGTGCATAGAGGCCGAGGCCTTCCCCTGATGATGCCTCCTGGCTCTGAGATTCAAAGGTTTAGTGCCCCTGAATGTGGAGGCTTTCCTCAGTCACCATGGCTAGTAGCCGTCAATAGACTTATTCTCTATGAATCTATCTAATCTTCTTTTAAAGTGGTTTATTGCTGTGCCCTTCCCTACATCCCGGCAGCAAATTCCACATTTTAATCACTCTGTATGTAAAGAAATATTTCCTTTTTTCCATCCTGAATCTATTGACCGTCAGCGTCACTGGATGCCTTATAAGTAGATCTATATTTAACCTTCCTAACCTGCTGCTATCACCACATCTAGTGCTAACAAACATGGTGCACCATAATGACTAATTGTCCATCCTGAACCTACTACTTCATTGGATGCCCTTGAATTCCCATGCATAATTTTATAAATCTCTATCGTGTCCCCCCTTAGTTCTCTCTTTTTTAAAACTGAAAAGTCCCAGACTCATCAGCCTTTCCTCATAGGGAAAGTGCTCCAATCCCCTAATAATCTTGGTTGCCCTCTTCTGTACTTTTGCCTTTTTGAGATATGACGATCAGAACTGTGCACAGTATTCCAAGTGAGGCCACACCATAGATCTGCACAGGGGCATTACAATACTGGCCACTTTGTTCTCGCTCCCTTTCCTAATAATCCCTAACACGGAGTTTGCCCTTTTCACTGCCTCAGCACCCTGGGTTGACACGTTCATTGAGCTATTCACTGTGCGCCCAAGATCTTTTCCCCTCTCAGTCTCAGCAAGTTCAGACCCCATTAGCTTATACTTGAAGTTGGGATTTTTTGTCCCACTGTGCATCGCCTTATACCAGGGCTTTTGTTGTAGACAAAGGCCAGCAGGAACTCATTAGCATAATAGGCTACATCCAACAGCAGAGAATCATTAGCATATTAGGCCACACTCCCAACAGTGCAGCTCATTGGCATATTAGGCCACACCCCCATGCCTTCCCTTGGCTTGCCTGAGTGCCCCGCGGCTGTGGGGAGCCCCAGCAAGCTGGCCCTTGGAGGGGAGGCACGGGGAGGCATTTAAATGCCTCCCCAATCCTTCCAGGCCCCACCCCACCTCAGAGTTGCTGTGGGGGTCACTCTCCAGGCCTTCCCTCTGTAGCCACACATGAGCAGAGGTTTGGGTTGTAGGTGTGGGCGTGGCCAACTCGGAAGCCAGCCGGAACAACGTCCCCGTGTGTTCCTGCCCCAAAATAGCCGGGCCTTACACGTACCAACACTGAGCTTCATTTGCCACATTGTTGCCCACTCATCCAGTTTGGGGAGCTCTTCAGTCAGCCTTGATTTTCACCATCCTGAATAATTTATGTGTCATTTGCAAACTTGGCCACTACACTACTCACCCCTGGTTCCAGATCATTTATCAGTTATGTGAAGGAAGGCAATGGAAAACCACTTCTCAACGTCTGTTGCCTCGGAAATCCAACAAGGTGGCCATAAGTCAGCTGCAACTTGATGGGGGGAAAATAATAATAGAAAATTGATGGTGATCTCTGGAATGTCTTGCCGTTTTGAAGGTAGATCTTCTTCCAAACAGAGATGTGAGACCTTGTTAAATATAACAATATACATTTTGAAAACCTATAACACTGAATGAATCATTCCAATACAATCTCTCCCTTATTATAATTGAATAGCAACGATCTATATCGCAACGTTCTAAATTTGGCTCACTCCAGGACATAGGGTTGCCAACTCCAGGTTGGAAACTTCCAGGATATTTTAGGGATGAAGCCTGCTGAGGGTGGGGTCTGAGGAGGAGGAGGAAGAGGGGGACCTCAGACAGATACAATGCCATACTGCCCACACTCCAGACAAGCTGTTGCCAGTCTCCAGGTGACAGCTGGAGAGATCTTAAAGCTTTGGTGCTACTTCAAAGTTCCCCAGGAGCCCAAAACAGAGTAGTGTTTTGGAAAATCTTGAGGAATTGTTTGGTGCATTTACGATGGGGCTCCTGGGGAACTATTGTTGCCAATCTTGGCCCAGCAGCCATCAAACCATTCTCTTCAACCCCCTGCTGTGCAGCTGACTTTCCCCTAGGGTTGCCAATCTCCAAGACTGCCCTGGAGATCTCCCACTGTTACAATTGATCTCCAGATGACAGAGATCAGTTCCCCTGGAGAAAATGGCTGCTTTGGAGGGTAGACCCTATGACATTATACCTGCTGAGTCCTTCCGCCCCCCCACCCAATGCTACCCTCTACAGAATCCACCCCCCAAACCTCCAGGTATTTCCCTCCTTAGAGCTGGCAACCCTACATTCCCCTCAGTGCCTGTTGGTAGGCAACTAAGCTTGGTCCTGTCACCTACTTTGGCCTTTGGGAGAAAACACATTGGGGCCAATCCTGATAGGGTTGCCAACTCCAGATGGGAAATTCCTGGAGACTTGAGGGATGGAGCCTGAAGAGGGTGAGGTTTGAGGAGGGGTGGGACCTCAGACAGGTACACTGCCATAGACTCCACCCTCCAAACCAGTCAGTCCCACATAGGGAACCATTGTTGCCAAACTCCAGGTGAGGGCTGGAGAGCACTCAGAATTACAACTGCTCTGCAGAAGGGAGGGCAGAAGTCAGCTGAAGTCAAAGGGGCAGATAATGGTAGGTTGATGGCTAGCTGGGAAGGAGATGGGGTTGCCAACTACATGCTGACAAATTCCTGGGGATTTGAGGGGTGGAGCCTGGAGAGGGTGGGGTTTGCAGAGGGGTGGGACCTCAGACAGGTAGAATGCCATAGACCCCCCCCTCCAAACCAGCCATTTTGTCCTGGGTAACAATTGCTGCCAATCTCCAGGTGAGGGCTACAGATCACTCACAATTACAACTGCTCTTCAGGTAGCAGAGATCAGTTCCTCTGGAGAAAACAGTGGACTCTGTCATTATACCCTGCTGAGGTCACCACAGCAAATTGACACTGTTTGCCCAAAGCCAGAGCACTGCCCCAGAGCCTCTTTCTAGATCTCGTTGTATTGCTTTCACAACGGGCTTTACTGCTAGTTGATAATAAAATAGTATGAAACCTTACAAATACTGTCTCTCAGTAATTCATTTCCTCTGATGACGTTTCAAAAATATCAATGAAGATTTTCTATGAAATGCAACAAACACTATTACAATGCACATATCTTTTCACAACTCAGTAATTTTTATACAATACTACATAAACAACTTATCTAAAAAACTTATGTACTTGTTTATGTAGTATTGTATAGAAATTACTGAGTTGTGAAAAGATATGTGTATTGTAATAGTGTTTGTTGCATTTCATAGAAAATCTTCATTGATATTTTTGAAACATCCTCAGAGGAAATGAATTACTGAGAGACAGTATTTGTAAGGTTTCATACTATTTTATTATCAATTGTATTGGAATGATTCATTCAGTGTTAAAAGGTTTTCAAAATGTATATTGTTATATTTAACAAGGTCTCACATCTCTGTTCGGAAGAAGATCTACCTTCGAAACGGCAAGACATTCCGGAGATCACCGTCAATTTTCTATTATTATGTATATTATTACTGTTCACTTTTTGTATAATTTATTCTTTAAATAAATTTATTAAGCGTCACTTTTTCACAGTTCTTTTTGGTTTTCGTATCGGCTCACAGATAGGGCATATATTAAAAACAAGATAAAACAATCAATCAATTACCACAATACAAAGTGCTTAAGATGTTTCAGAAAAGACTTCAATAACAAGATGGCTTCCTGGGGATAGCAGTCCCAATTCAGTGGTATCAGATCTACACAGCACTGTAATACATTTAACACAGGGCCATCTCACCCCCCACTGTTACCCAACTCAGTTGGTGGTGGTGGTGGAGGTAGTGGTGGAAGTAGTGGCGGCTCCTACTCGAAAGCCTGGCGGAAGAGCTCCCTTGCAGGCCCTGCGGAGCTGGGCAAGGTCCCGCAGGTTCCGGATCTCCTCTGGGAGCTCATTCCACCAGGTAGGAGCCGCCACCGAAAAAGCCCTTGCCCTGGTAGCAGCATACCTGGCATCTTTGGGGCCTGGAATCACCAGCGGATGTTGCATCCCCGACCGTAGTGCCCTTGGGGGAACATATGGGGAAAGGTATGTCGGACCCTGGCCATATAGGGCTTTACTTGTTTGGGTCACCTTTGGGGGGGATAACCACGTGTGTCCAATGAAATGTCAGTGGAATTCACCACCAGCTGAATGGTGTTCTGTTAACGCAAGGATCACTGAGCAAGTGGTAGCACTGTGCCTGGCATAGTCATGAACATTTCCCGTATCCTGCTTTGAGGCACTGTCCTTTAACTGCATTATTAAATTAAAGAAATCAGACCAACATTCTAATGCTAGCTGTTTACCTTGTGCAAAAATAGGGTTACAATAGGGTTGTGGGTTTTTTAGCACAACAGTGCACCACATAGCTAAAACTCCCTCAGCCCCACCTACCTCACAGCCGGTGTCTGTTATGGACAGAGGAAGCTACAGAGATTGTAAGCCACTCTGAGAACCTTTCAGGTAGTGAAGAATGGGGTATAAAAACCAGCTCTTCTTCTGAAAAAATTCCTCTAACGTAATGGCTATTACGCTTGCAGAAGTGGGCTGCCAGATATCTGTCAATGTGTCTTTTCCATCCAAGCTCCTGCCTGCCTTGTCACTGCCCACCCTTGGTGGAACATGGCCTAAGACACAACTGTGCTAGTAACTCCAGGCCTGCCTACATACTTACCTGTCATCTCTCAAACAGCCAAAGTGGAGCAGGTGAAGTTTGATGCCACCACTTTGCACGCCAAGCCTGAGACGGCTGCCCAGCTCAGGATGGTGGATGACGGCTCTGGAGAGGTGCAGGTAAGGAGCAAATCCCTGGCTAAACCCTCCCCTGTTGTAAATCTCTGAACTGGATTTGAGACTGGTTGGATGACTTGCGAGACACTAGGGTCAGAAAGATTGAAGGTCAAAGAAGGGGACGGCAAAGGATGAGATGGTTAGACAGTGTTACCGAGGCAATGGACATGAAATTAAGCAAACTCCAGAGCACGACGGAAGACAGCCTACCAAGAGTCGGACTCGACTGTGCGACTGAACAACAAAAAGGGTCAGAAAGCAGATAGAGGTCAGAGATCTCTTAGTCTTGGCTTTGCAAGCCTATGAGAATGCAAAATGGCTTTATAAAAGGGGAGTGGGGTAGAAGTGAGGGATGTGGGATGGGATGGTATATCAGATGTTGGAAGCTAAACAGGGCTGCTGCTAGGAAGGGAGACCACCGAGGAAGACTCTGCAGAGGCACACCATCTCTGCTTCTCCCATGCCTTTAAAGCCCTTGCTGGGGTTGCTGTAAATTGGTTGCAACTTGCTGGGTGGAAGGAGCGGCGGTAAGTCTGGTGCAACCAGCCTTGTCCTTTTAGACTGCCTAGTTTGACCAAAGAATGGAGCGTGTCCTTGGACAGGGCTGTCACTACCTGCTTGGAATGTCTAGAGCTCTTCCTACAATGCTCACCTTGGCAGGTCTGGCGAATTGAGAACTTGGAGCTGGTGCCGGTGGAGAGTCGCTGGCTTGGGCATTTCTACAGTGGTGACTGCTACCTCATCCTCTACAAGTACCAGATTTACAATAAGATCCACTACATCATCTATATTTGGCAGGTGAGCATTGGGACCAGGCAAAGGAAAGCAAGTGCCAAACTAAACAAGCCAGCAGGGATCCACATTTTAAAAGCAGCTGTGGGGAATGAGGCTGCGTTGGGTCTACAACACTGGGAGAAGGGGGGGGGAGTTAACTTTCTCAATATACCATTTTATTGATTAAACACCTCCCTTCAAAATTACTATTACCCTATGAGTGAAAATAGGAGCTGCGGTGGCTCAAGTGGTTAAGACGCTGAACTGCAGGCTGTGGAAGGTCTGTAGTTCAGCAGTTCGAGACCCGGGTGCCGCATGATGGAGTGAGCTCCCGTCTCTGGTTCCAGCTCCTGCCAACCTAGCATTTCGAAAGCAAGAAATTGCAAGTAGATAAATAGGTACCACTCCGGTGGGAAGGTAACAGCGTTCCGTGCGCCTTGGTGTTTAGTCATGTCGGCCACATGACCACGGAAATGTCTTCGGACAGCGCTGGCTCTTCGGCTTTGAAACGGAGATGAGCACCGCAACCCTAGAGTCGGATTCGACTGGCTTTTGAGCAAGGGAACCTTTACCTTTATGAGTGAAAATATGTAGATACCATCTGGGTACTGGTACAGGTAGGTAGAGAGATGAGATGGGCCCCAAATTCAGCACTTTTGTGGTCCCATTATGTCTTCTGTCTTCATATACATGAAAATGTGTGCAAAGTCCTTCTTGCAAGACAGTAAATTGTTAAATGAGGAAGGACTGGCAAATTTTACTGTAATGGGAGATTTCAGTGCAGCTAGAAAGCATTTAGGGTGTTTTCACACAAACTATAGCAACATTATCAATACAGGGCAAACAAGTGTCCTGTTCCTCCTTTGTTTTGTTGAGACAGAGATTTCTATTATTGGCAGGCATCCTAGTGCATGCGGACATGCGCACACACATTGATTTTTTTCAAAAAAGAAAAGAACCAGCAACTTGGCTAAAGATACAAGTACTCATATGTGCTCTGAAATACAAATAGTGGATGGGATTGGTTGGCACTCTGCCCTAGATGGCACCCCAGTCTGGGAGAGATAAAGAAATATAAAAGGCCAAAATCTTGATGACACAAACTGCTATGTCAGTTTCTTCATCCCCAGTAATAGAAACTGCTTGTAAGTTCTATGCAGTCATGAGGGCTAGAAACCTAACCTTATTTATTTTTTAAAACTCAGAAGATGACATTCTCAGGATCTTGAAGATTAACACTAGATTGCAGGAACCTGAATTCCATAAGATACAGCAGAGTCATAATTGCATAGCTTGTTAAAAAAAAAAAGAATCGAGTCATCTGTATGATGTTGGGGTAAGTACATCCCTTCCTTCCAAATCAGCCTGCTGTTTGCTGTTTTCCAGGGCCGCCACGCCAGCCAGGATGAGATCACTGCATCTGCTTACCAGGCTGTTATTTTGGACCAAGAGTATAATAATGAGCCTGTGCAGGTGCGAGTGACCATGGGCAAGGAGCCTGCCCACCTCATGGCCATTTTCAAGGGGCACATGGTGGTATACATGGTGAGTAGGACCTAGCTTATTAAGGTTGCCAATCTCCCATACACTAAGACATATCTGGATCTGGACCACATCAGGAAATTCTTAAACTGTATAAGCAAGAATTGTATGACTGACTGTATTGTTTCTTTCATAATGGGATAGGGTGTTTTTATAGTCAGTTATCACTTTTTTTGCTGTCTGATGGTGAGGGTGTGACTCTCTTCTTGGATAATGGGTGGAGAGAAGACATTTGTTCCTTCCATGCTCGGAGAAGAAGCAGCTAGAGGTTTAAATTCCAGACACACAGATGTCATTCCTATCAGAGAAATACAAAACAGGCAACCTAGAGAAGTTATAGAATCTTGTCCAGGCGCTTGAACAATCTGGGACTTCAGACAGTCCCAACGGCAGGAAGTTATACTCTGTGACCTGTTGGGCCCAGCTCTGTATTACTTTAATGGAATATTGGAGAAGATGTAGGCTTTACAAACATTTAAAACTTCACTCTTCAGCGGAATAGTGTGGGTAGGCTGGATGAACTTGTTTTCATGCAGTCCTCTTCCATAGCCTTCGAAGTTTGTTTGGGTTGAAGACCAAACATCACTTGCCTTGTAGTACAGTGACATTGGAAGTCTACTAGCTGTGCCTTCTTAAAAAGTCACAGTTGTGAGTTTGGATTGGGTCGCTACCAAGGTTATGTACCCTTCCTCAAGTAATCACAAATTCTGCAAATGTGCGTATGCCTGCATAATTTGTCCTAGAAAGTAGCTAGGGCCCCCAGAAGTCAGAACCAGTGCTGAAACCGTTAAATTTTCTGAATTTCCCCATCTTTGGCCAGGGTGGTACCTCACGAGCTGGCAACACAGATCCAGTGCCTTCCACCCGCCTTTTCCAAGTTCATGGATCCAATGAGTACAACACCAAGGCCTTTGAAGTGCCTCCCCGTGCCACCTCCCTCAACTCTAATGACGTCTTTATTCTCAAATCTCAGACTTGCAGCTACCTCTGGTATGGGAAGGTAGGTATCCTCTCCTGACACGGTGTACTACATGTGGTACAGTGGTTAGAGTGTTAGACCAGAACCTGGGAGACACAGGTTCAAATTTCTCGTTTCCCACAGAAGCTTGCTAGATAACCTCAGACCACTCTATTACAGAGCTGTTGTGAGTATACAAATGGAGCAAAGGAAAAATATTAGCCGCTTGGGGTCCCCACTGCATATAAAGGCAGGGTACAAATGATGGAAATAAATACATTTGCAGTCTCAGGAAACGAGATGCCCAGCCCGGCTTTGATAGAAAGGGGGGGGAGGATTTAGCCAATCAAAAGAGTGAGAACTTACCGGTCACATGCAGGGGTCGTTTCCTGCAGGACCAGACAGGAGCGGAGCTCCGGCAGTAAAGAGCCCAGGGGGCAGGCACATGCAACAAGCCCCACCCCCTGCTCCCAGCAGCCCCAGGCCATGAGGAGCAAGAAGCCTCTTTCTTTCCCTCATTTCCTTCTCTCCCTCCTCCTTTCCTATTTTTCTCTCCTTCCTTCCTGCACAGATCAGTGCACCCCCCCCCCCAGCTAACAATCCAAAACAGTCCAGGGGCAACTTTAAGACCAAGTTTTATTCAGGTACAAGCTCTCCCTCCTCTGCTAGGGCAGATGTGCACGTCCCCCCCACATAGCTAGCAATCCAAAACAGTCCATTGGAGCCTGAGCAGTGGGTGTTGCCTTCTGACACACTTCCGGTGATGTCAGGGGGTGTGGCATATGCAAATAATTTATGCTAATGAGCTCCTGCACCTCTCTTTCTACTAAATGACCCTGGTCACATGTCCATGCTTGGGGTAAGTATGACTTAGTGGACAGGCAAGACTTTTGAGCTGATACAGGTTAGTATGCACAGTCTTCTTTCCGTAACACGCTCCCTTTGGTTCATTCTCATAGGGCTGCAGTGGGGATGAAAGGGAGATGGCCAAGAGTGTAGCGGACCTCCTCTCCAGGACAGAAAAAGTGGTGGTAGCTGAAGGCCAGGAGCCGGCTGAATTTTGGCTTGCCCTGGGTGGAAAGATGCAGTATGCCAACAACAAAAGGTAACATCTTCACAGGACTCTCGAGAGAAGGGGCTCCAACTCCTTGCGTGAGGAGTAATACTAAGTGCACCCCCTGGCAAACTGAAAGGCCATATTCCTTTTAGATCCTTTCCCTGAACATGCTAGTCACTCCCCAAAGATGAGACTACCTAGGCAGAATGTCCTAGTTCTATGGGAGCCTCTGAGCACAGTTAGAGAAGACTTCACCACGCCAAAGTCTGGCATGAATTAGGACAGACACCAAAATTCATCTCGTCACAGAGGGGCATCTGCTGGCTTCCTAAGGCTTCAGCTGCAGATTAGATACCCACAAGTCCGGTTTTTCCACTGCAGTGACACTTAAAGGGCAATCTGAAACAGTATCTCCACAAGAAAGGAGGGGGTGGCAGAGGAGGTAAGCACACCCATCCTGGACAGCCACATTACGGTGTCCCAAGTTACACATTTTGATCGTGCTTTGGAGCACACAAGGCCAAAAAGGGTTCTGACATACCTTCATATGTAACATGAAGGTGAGCCTGCTCTAGCACCTGGCCCACCCCCTACCTTTCCATGCAGGTTACAGGAAGAAACCCTCTCCATCATGCCTCGACTCTTTGAATGTTCCAATAAGACAGGCACTTTCCTTGCTACGGAAATTCCAAATTTTACTCAAGATGACTTAGAAGAAGATGACGTCTTCTTGCTGGATGTCTGGGATCAGGTGGGTCTGAGTGGTGTGGCGGATGCATCAGTTGAGAGAAAGCATTTGCTCCTCTCTGCTATATATTTGCACATAAAATGTTCCTCCTCCCGTGCAACTAATGTCTCCCAGTTTCCAGGAAGATAGGTGTTTAAATACTCATACAAAGACAGTAAGTTGTCCTCAAATGTGTCTGCTTGCTAAATGAGTTGAATCTTTCAAGGAGCCAGCAGCCTGTGTGTTGTTAATTCCAGCAGTGTAGCGGCACAAACATGTAGCAGCAAAGAAACAGCGGCAATCTGTAGACACAAAATGTACTCCAGCATAAACCTTCAAAAGGCGGAGCTCACTTCATCAGATGCATGAAGTGCTCATCCATTAAGCAGAAGTTTTTATAGTAAAACTGCACACAACATGCCAGTTCAAGACAGTAGGCAATCAAAAAAGCAATCGTTGATAGGCGGGCTAAGTGAGATATAACATCAAATAGACCTAGTACATGGTGACTCAAGTTATGCAGTGAACTCCGATGTTGTCACTCCTTTAGAAGACCTGATAATTGATGGCAAAAGAGAAATACTGGCGGGGAGTAACAGTACCAAAGCACAGGGAGCAGGCTTCATCAGGATGGGTGAAAAGCACCAGGCTGCAGTAAACCCCTTTGAGCTTCCATGACAGGAAAAAAGTATAAATTGAAGAAATATTGCACTTGCTAAGATAGAGAAATTGATTTTGAATACACCCTGCCACTCCCAACAGAGTCTGTCTTCCATTAACTTGAACTGCTTCACCCATAGGTCTTCTTCTGGATTGGCAAAGAGGCAAATGAAGCGGAGAAGAAAGCAGCAGCTATCACTGCTCAAGAGTATCTGCATAGCCACCCAAGTGGCCGTGACCTCGATACCCCTATAGTCATTGTGAAGCAAGGCTGTGAACCTCCAACATTTACAGGCTGGTTCCTGGCATGGGACCCCCTCAAATGGACTGTGAGTGACATGGCAAAGCTCCCTTTCTTGTGCCCAACAAAAGGCAGCTATGGACATGCTGCACCAAGTTAACTCTTCTGCAGCTACTGTCCAAATATTAGGCTGCTGAGAAACATGTAGAGAGAGCGGCTTTCACAACCCTTCCCCCTTTCCTGCTAGTTGACCTTTTTTTTGCAATTTATACATAACTACAGCTGGTTTCCCCACTATGATTTGCCCATGAGCAGATAAGACTCTGGCATGATAAGCAGTGGAGCTTGTTTTGGAAGCTCTTTGCCCCCAAAGCCTGGAAACTCCTTTTGGGGTTGTGTAGAGTTTGTGTCCTTAAATCTTCAGTACCTGCAAACAAGTTCACTGTAGTACACCAGTTCTTTCATTTGTCTTCCCACAGGGTATGAAAACCTACGAGGAACTGAAAGCTGAACTTGGAGATGACAGCAGTCTAAATGAGCTCACTTCCGTAAGTGTTGCAGAAGCAAGCGGACACCAGCTCTCCTGCCAGCACTGATTGCTGAACTGTGTTTCACCGTGGTTAGAGCCATTATTAGGGCAGGGCCATCTTTGTAGTGATTTCCATATAACTTCAGAAGTTAGTAGTAGTACAGCATGGACTCTTCCCTTAAAGACAAATGCAACCCCTTGGCCATCAATTGTCTGCTTGTAGTAAACAGATGAAACTGCCTTACATCCAGTCAAGACCAATGTTTCCTCTAAGCTGTGGAGTCTAGTGAGCAAAAATTCTACTTTGTGAGCCACTGGCATTAAAGTTGTGAGCGAGCAGTTTGGCTGCTGATTTCCATATAACTTCAGAAGTTAGTAGTAGTACAGCATGGACTCTTCCCTTAAAGACAAATGCAACCCCTTGGCTATCAATTGTCTGCTTGTAGTAAACAGATGAAACTGCCTTACATCCAGTCAAGACCAATGTTTCCTCTAAGCTGTGGAGTCTTGTGAGCAAAAATTCTACTTTGTGAGCCACTGGCATTAAAGTTGTGAGCGAGCAGTTTGGCTGCTGCATAAATCAGTTTGCTCTGGAGCCCTCCTTCCTGAGCTAAGACAAAAATGTGTGAGCCGGTGGCTAAAAAACTGTGAGCTAGCTCACACTAACTCAGCTTAGAGGGAATACTGGTCAAGACTACTGGGAGATCTGACAGAGGACGGCTTACTCCGACTGGCAGGAGCTCTTCAGGATGTCAGGCAGAGTACATCTCTTACCCAATACCTGATACAGACATAAGATCCTTTCAAGCAGGGATGCTGGGGACAGATGTGTCTTTCTGCCTGCAAAGCATACGCTTTGTTGTGGGGGGGTAACACAGCCCCCCTCCCTTGATATTATTCTGTTCACCAATGACAATGATATTTAGGAAGGAGTAGAACACCCAGCAGCAGCCTTTTCACCTCTCACATCAACAATATTAGCCTCTATCCTGTGGCCTGCTCCCCCACCCCTTCCTGCAAAGTCAACAGGATCCTTTCAAGCAGGGATGCTGGGGATAGATGATGTGTCTTTCTGCCTGCAAAGCATATGCTTTGTTGTGGGGGATAACACAGCCCCCCTCCCTTGATATTATTCTGTTCACCAATGACAATGATATTTAGGAAGGAGTAGAACACCCAGCAGCAGCCTTTTCACCTCTCACATCAACAATATTAGCCTCTATCCTGTGGCCTGCTCCCCCACCCCTTCCTGCAAAGTCAACAGATCACAGCCAGCAGCCTCTAAGAAGACAGTGTTAGTCTTTCTAGAGCCATTGTTCATGACCGCAGTAAAAAAATCTGCTCTGGGAATCCTGTCTTCAATGTTTATACATGACACCATCTTAGATGCCCTTTCGGAGGCCCCTTATTTCAAGAGACAGCATGCCTTAGACAAATTTTGTTATTCCCGTTCACCTCCAGAGGTAGGCTCTACATCCAGATCACAATTGGCAAGGAAAATTTGATTCTTAGAAGCCTTCAAGCCACTTTCTTCTTGAAGAAAAACCAGGGCATTATAGACAGTCCAACTCTTAACATTGTGCCCTACTTCTTGTTCATGGGGCCTCAGCTAAGGCTCCTTAGACATCCCTTCCTGCTACCCTGTAGCCTCCCCATCTTTGCCCTGTTCTTGTCTTCCCGTGTGCATGCAGCCCCACAAATCTAGCTCCTTCAACGGGGCAGTTGCTAATAAAACGCAAGCAAGGTTGTTTCCAGAATGATCACTGCAAGCATCTTGTCATGGCCGGTACTCCTGCAGGGGTCTACAAAACTGGGGCAGCTGGATTTCTGGCAGGTATTTTCAGAACCTTTGCTATAAGCAACAGAGGAGTCGAGGCCTAACAGAAAAGGAGTGATTAAATAAGTAGCATTTAAAGCCAGTCTAGGTGTACGAAGTGTGATGCAGTTGCAGCTCCGTTAATGGTACTGTTACAGACTAAGTTTCAAAGAAATTCACAAAATATGCAAGCCAGGCACTTTAAATTCATTTAGAATCCTTCACCTCTGGGGCCAAAGTCACTTGCCTACACTTCCAGAATGTGGTTACTGAGAACAGCTCAGTGTGCACAATCTCATTAAATCAAATTAAAGAGATAGGAACATATATATATATATCCCAGCTTGAAGAGCCCTTTTCTTTTTCAGGAAATCGTTGAGGCAAAAGAGATTTTCACTGCCAACACTACTTTTGCCAAGCTGTCAATTACTATGTACACACCAGAGCAGTTGGTGAACAAGCCTGCAGAAGAGCTACCCAAGGATGTGAATCCCAGCAGGAAGGAGGTAAGATATCAGAGGAATGTGTTCTGAATTCTCTTGTGGGTTGGAACCTCCCATGTTTCCACAGCAGTGTGTGAGGTAGCTGCTGGATCATTGTATTAGGATGTGGAAAACTCAGCCTGAAACCAATACCAGGCTGGCTACTATCAGGACCAGGGCCTTCTCAGTGGCGGCTCCATACTGGTGGAATGAGCTCCCAGAAGAGGCCAAGGCCCTGCGGGATCTTCTACAGTTCCGCAGGGCCTGCAAGACGGAGCTCTTCCACCAGGCATTTAACTAAGGAGCCACCGCCACTATTACCACCAAGAATCCTAATTATAGAGCCCTGGGAGAACTCTGAGAAATTGCTCATTAGGATTCTTACTTCACTTCATCTTGCCCACGGATTGGCCTCTGCTCCCAAGAATACAGGTATTGCTCACAGCAAATCTGGGCAATGAGGAATCCTCACTGCAGCATGATCAGTTTTACCACTGTAGCTCCTCCTCTTACTCATCCTTGCTTTCTCCCTTTCTATAGGATTACTTGTCAGAAGAAGATTTCATTGCTGTCTTTGGAGTATCTCGACAGGACTATGCTACACTGCCCCAGTGGAAACAACAGGCTCTTAAGAAAGAAAAAGGACTCTTCTAAACGTTAAGCCCCTGCTGCTGTTATCTGCAGGGGGGTGCCTGTTTTTAAAAGATTAGGACGTCTTAAAGCTTGATAACAGGTGTTATCACAAAACAAATTTTTCAGGGACAAAATGCAAGATAATTTAAATTACAACTGCAAGTAATGTGGCCTGGGCTGAATCAGGAACAGACGTTTGTTCCTTAAGTTAGCTTTTAAAACATGGACATAAATACATCTCTGTCTTTCAGTCATAAATTAAAAAAATGAAAATGTATAAGTAGTCTAATTCAAGGTTTATGCTTTTTAAAGAAAAAAATTATATGTCCTAGAAGGCATAAAGTGTTTCTAAGACCCATGGGAAGAAAAAAAACCCCACTTAGTGCAGACTACTGTAGAAAACAAGCAATACAAAACCTGTGCTATGATCACACTTGCATCTTCCTAGAAAGAGGAATCAGAACATCAATGTTAATAAACAGTGTTTAATTTCTCTGAAATCTATCTACAAGTCATTTAAAGAAAAAAGGCAGAATTGTAAAGAATACATAAGAACACGTCTGCTATAACACAGAAAAGTGCTGCTCCACATTTAGTGTCAAGAGACACAAGGTGATTAACATAAATACCATGGCATCCTCTTCCAACACACATGCCCAGAAACATTTCAACTCATTCACACCCCTCCCCCCCATTTTTACAAATAACTCACTCAGGAAACAAAAGAATGCAGGAGGCTGACTTTGGAAGCTGACCCTCCCCCACCCAATTTTCATCCTTAGGCAGTTCATCCCACATGCCTCAGTGGTTTAAAAGCATGCCTATTATTTTCCAGAAAACTCTCATCCCTCCAAATCTTATCCCAGAACTCCTGTTACTGGCATCAGACAAGCCTCCATGAATTTGGAGTGCAATATTAATTTATTTAATGCTAGATAACTACCGTGTCCTTGCCTTGGTTGCCATGCTAACAGCTTTTTATTAACCCATCTAGGATCTTAAAGATTCTGCAACACATAAAACAATTACTACAGTGTTGTCCCTAAGCGTTATGCCTTCATCCTATGGGATGCTCAGATTCAGGTTCCAGTTGGAGAAGGAAAATTTAATGCACAGACTGAACTTTGAGTGGAACAACAATGCCCAGTGCTATATCACTGCATGTCTAGAAGCGCCATAAGGGATTATAGGCTCATGGCTTGTCATACGAAGCAGGTGCTTGGTGATTCCCAAGGTTTTCTTTATCAAACTGAGCCATCTTCATGTATGTACAGAATCTGGTGAACAATGATGATGGAGAATTTAGTTACTTAGTGCAAACACATATATGGCTATTTCTCACAAAGTAAATACAGCACAGTAAGACCAATGAAGAAAGTCACAAAATATGATGGCTCAAACTAGATGTACCACTGGGGAGACTGATACTTAGTTATGTTCTTTTGAAATTACAAATAGTACCCTGGAGAAGATGTACAAGGATGTTTCAATAGCACACTGCTCTAAAAGAAAACCCTGTTCTCTTCAGTAGACAACAGCATCCTAAGTATCACCAGCTACCAGGGCTCCCTGAGGCAGTCAACATTTCTGTAAATTGCTCAAAAGGATCTGTAATAAGAGGTGTTAAAAACCACATGCCTTAATATTTGGTTTCAGATGCAGCTGAATGGCTATACAAAAGCAGCTTAAATTCTTGCAGGAGTTTCAGCATGCTAAACCATTGCATGAGGTAAGCATGGTAAAGAGATGTCCTCCTCTGGTGAACCATATCCCATGGACTTTGAATTCAGACCATGAAATACAGAGCACTGTATAAACTTAAATCCTCATATCTCTGAAGAAAACACTAATTCCTTCTATTGCCATCACATTTCACCTTACAGAATTTTATTTTGTTGAGAACAGTGATTTCAGTGCAATACTCAATGTTGCTTGTTATAAAGGCTTTTCAGATGCAATTTCTTGCTAGGCAAGAGCCACGCTTCCATTAGAAGAAGCATTAGTTGTTCTTCCATACAACTCTCAAAGAGACAAACAGCTGTACTACACATCTGAAATGCAGGTTTAGTCTATCAAGACATCACTCTAGGATGTTTTGCCTTTAAATATACTAGCTATTTTGTCCTCACCATTGATCAAATATGGTGCAGTTACTTTAATATAACTGTTTAATTACAGCATTTATATACCTAGAAAGAAAAGCAGCTCTATATCAGGATCATGAGCATCATTTTGAAATTTTCTTTTTCACTGGAAGAAAATCCCTTTGCTAAAAATGAAAAGTAACTGACTACCAACAGTAAAAATATATAATGGCAGAATAAATTAGTACAATATACTACTGGGAGTGTGACTGTGGAGACTTTGCCTTGCTTAACAGGTCAACTAATTAAGGCAACCTTAGCATAGCAGGGACCATGTAGGCTTACTTAACAGAGCTGGCCATTCTGTAAGCAGGAAAACCCTTTCCCAGCAGGTAAAGCCTGTTGTCTAGTAGCTCCTATGGGTCTCTGCCTTCAAATCCCAGATTTTATCTTTTAGAAAGTCTTTGTCATAGAATATACATATCCCCCCAAATAAGTGAAAAAAATCTCCAAATTCTCAACACCAGTTAACATTTTCAAAGGAAAACCCTGAGTTAGAAGCAAACCTACATTATTAGCAATTTCATTGCAAATAAAATAAAATAAAATAAAATGAAAGGGCCATGCCTTCCAGCACTAAAATGAGAAACTGGCATAATTTGATCCTAGGTAGATTGTTCTTCTTTCCCCTTTGTTCAAACCAGTTAAAAATGACCATCACATTATCAAAATACATTTTGGATAACAAAACTTTAACATTTCTTCTCTGAAATGTCTATCCAGGACCACTGGGTCATGAGACTGCTAAAGAAAGAACAAAATGTCTTATAGAATATATAACAGTTTGAGAATGCTAGATTTCCACCCAACTGGTTTAACTGTATTTATCACACAAATAAAATAAAGCCAGGTATATTTTAATGTTTCCCCTATCAACATTTGAGTCTTGTTCCAACACACCACTCTTGCAAAAGAAACCCTCCACACCTAGAGCACGTGCAATTATTTAGGGGTCAAGGCTGCATAAACACAGGGAATGCGGAACTGCTGTTCATATTCCATTTGCTGATTAGCACCAGCTGTACACAGCTCGAAAAGGACCTCAAAAGGTTACAGCTAGGGGTGTGCGCTCGGTACATATCAAGCCGAATAAATACCTGAAAAATACTCTATCGGTATTTTTGGGTATTTATTCAGCTGAATACAAGTTAGATAATCTGATTCAGCTACCAAAATAGCCATGCCTGAATAAAACCCATATTATTCAGCTTTTATTCGGGCACGGATAGAAGGCATTTAAAGAAAGTCTCCTTAAATGCCTTCTCTGAACTCGGTGAGTGAAATTCTCCATTATATCCTATGGGGACGATCCCCATAATGTATAATGAATACATTCAGGTTTCCCGAATAGTTACTCGAATACCAATACAATACCGATACTGGTATTCCAGAATATTCAGGAATACCAATATTTTCCGGGTACAATAGACCCGAATCGGGGAAAAACTTTTTTTGCACACCCATAGCTACAGTGTGTGCTTCCCATTATTAGCTGCCTCTGTCTCAGCCCAACCAGAACAGTCTTCAATAAAATACAGCTTTTATATATATATATCTACACAAACTCAGAGAAATAAAGTTGTCCTGCAAATGGCAGTACTTAGAAAAGAATACAGTCATAAAGAATAAAAACTTTTCAAGTTAAAATATATATATATATATCATTTTTAAATAAAGATGATAATGATCTGGGTAAAAATGACATATGCAACATGTTCCTGAGCACCAACTGTTTGCTTTCTGGATCTGTATGATGCTGTATTTACAAATCCCTGGGTGTCAACGTTCATCAGTTTTGGTAGTGCCTGGTCACCTCGTCAACAAAGGCAGATGGACGCAGGAAGTCAACCATCTCAGCTTTCCAATTAATGCATTCCAGATTGCAGGCTATTTCTGGTTTTGCTCTTTTGTGGAAAGGAGGGAGAAATCCACACTATGTGGGAATCTTTCCCTGGTGGTAGAAGAACATATGAATCTGCAGTCTCTTCTCACATTAATCCTTGATGGGTTTTTGAAGAAGTTGTCTAGCCTGATTAACTCCACTGCTGGCAAAGTTACTTGAAAAGAGAGAAATGAAAAAAGTCCCCCAGCAGGACGTGGGTAACAGCAGCTTAAAACTGCACAGATGAAATTCAAGACAGATGCAGAACAGTCTATTCCTCCTAATCCGAGATGTCTGTCTTAGCTGTACCCTGAGTTTTTGGGGTCTGTGGTTCCTGCAACTTCAGAATCCTTTGTGCTCAGGAAAGAGGAAACATTCTTCACAGGGGCTGTCGAACTGGCTTCCCCAACTCTGTGCAAGGCAGCTGCATACTCTTTTCTGTTTCTAGCAATTCGTCAAATATCTCCCTGGGAACATGAAAATGGTTCATATCAGTAAACAGAAGAATGCCTATATAGGGTGCAAAAGTCAGGCTCAGCACAAATCCAGTAAGTCCCAAATGACCACCTTGCAATCGTACATCTGCAAAACTGAGGATCTGACAGCTTCCATGTCTGGTTCATTAACTAACAAATAGAAAAACAGAAGTACATTTCATAAAACTATTGATATTTTAAAAGGAGAGGAAGCAAGTCCAAGAAAACATTGTGCTTGTGTGGGGAGAATAGATAAAGGATGTACTTGCTTGTGCATATAAAAGAAGATGTAACCACTTCGGTCCCTGTCACTCTGCATGGAGGCCTCTTGAATTCTGGATACTTCCAAGTCATTGTATGTGAACCATGCCTGTTTGCGGATGTCATATACATCACTAATATAGTGACCTTGAAAAAGAAGGGACAAGAACAACAAAATTGGATCTCCAGGCTACACCAAGGATCAAAAAGCCCCTTCCCAAGCTACTTTTATAAAAGTCACCGAACATGTAAAAACTG